ATTCGTATCGCCGACAAAATTTCATTATTCACGAAATTCACTATTCACGTGAATAGTAACCTCGCAGAAAAATTGGCAAAATTCACAACCAAAAGCTCATGATACCAGTTGTTAGGAAATAAACCGAGTAACAAGTAATTTCCCTATAACCAGATTAGTGAGAATGCGAAATAAAAGCGGAAAAATAATACCCGAAATTTGATAACGGAGTTCAGCCAATTTGTGCTTACGTCTCCGGACTGCTGCAGATCTTTTACTAAGAGAAAATTTACAGGTGTTTACACAACACACTTGAGAGAGAACTATAAGATTTTGGGATGATTTTGAAGCTAAATGAGCTAGGGTATTTATAGTTGAAACTTAGGGACTAATCTTTGAAAATACCCTAAAATTTAATGACTCAATTTTATAATTATACCTATTACAAAATAATAAAAAATTTATTAGCAGCCCCCTAGCAGCCGGCTGCCTTGACCAACATCTTCCAATAACTGCATTTGGGATGCTCAGTGGTATATGAACGTGAAAGTCAAAAAAAGGGAAAAGTACACTCAAGGTTACTGAACTATACACAAATGACCTTTTTATCTATTTAACTTTCAAAAACTATAAAATGATCATTAACATTATGGAACTATTACAAAATGACAACTGCGACGTTATAATAATTACAATTTTTTGATAAAATTTCATTATCATTTTATATATTTTTAATAAAATAAATTTTATTTTATAGCTTTCGAATGACACATATCTCTATTATCGTAGGAGTCAGGGGAACATAATGTATAGAGCTCCTCGTTCTTTGTAAATGAATTGATAATATATTTTTATTGATAATTTATTTTTGTCTCTCTAACAATGATTTTTGTTCTAATGTGGCAGGATGGAATAGATGCGATCTAAGATGTCATCTACCACATCGAAACCTTTGATGTTACCACAACGAGGGCAAGCACGCTTATGTTTCTGATGTCACGGAAGATCAAGCCACTGGGAGTGAATATGGTTCTTTCCGATCAAGTGACAAGGCACCAAATAGGGAAGAATTTCACCGTGAAACATGCCGCAAGGTAATTGATCATCTTAGCAGCCATGGAAGTTGGAATATAAAGATAATGGGCCTTTCTAATTGGCCACATATGTAAATTTGAACCAAGAAGATAAGACCACAAATGATTATGACCTAGCTCCAAACATATAAGAAATTGAAGCAACAATATATATTCTTTGTTCACGATTGGTACTTTAGGATAGGGTTCACATTTCAGTTGTCCAAGCTGAATACATATGTTTATTTCAAGTTTCATATTTGTCGACCGGTATCGGATGGCTTCCCGCATGACAATGCATATTATGTTCACGTGGAATGGATTTTGTTTAAAATCATTGGCATAAATGGAACAAAAATAAGAGACAAATTTCACATGGAGGATTATCAAATCAAAATCAACTTTTGCCATCTCCAAACTTTATCAAATCAAATCTCACTACAACTAGTTGGGATACGATATGTCTGCAAAATTAATTTTAAAAAAATGCAACAAAGTTTTGGACACTTGTTTTAGCGACAAATAGTTGGTCATATTTCCTCATTTTAGGACCCCCCCGTCCTATCCCACAATGGAAAATATGTACCATTGTCGATGCAAAAAAGAGTTTATTGTTTAGCATCCAAATGAGGAAAAGGACATGTTCCTTCCTAAAACTCTATTCTATATTATTCATTTCATTTCTTCATCCGTCGCTATTAGTATACTATTCACTAGCAAAAATTGTTCCGACCTTAATTCAACAGAGGCTTAAGCAAGGAAGGATGTAAGATTTTGTGTTATGAGGGCGAACAAAAATTTAAGGGAACAAAAACATATTTTCAATGAAAAATACATAAAAAAAATCTAAAACATATGATAATTTTAAATTTTAAGGGATGACCCCTCGACCCATCCCTAAGCTTAAGTGTTTCAAAAACCTTTGCACTTTTGGAAACAAATCAATTAAGTAATTAAATTTTTTTTAAGTCAATTAAGTTCTTAAAACTTCATCGTTTTTTCTTTGACCAACATTGAACATTATATTTAATTCTTTTTTTTTGGATAACTTGATGTCACGTCATATTATTATAGAGTGATATTTTTAAATTTATTATTTTAAAAATTAATTTTGGAATTTTAATAATTTTTTAGAATATTTTGTTAAAAAGTTGTAACTTTTACGTTTCAAAATCACAATGTGTCATGTGATAATAATATTTAAAAGATTGATATAACTCAGTTATCAAAATTAATCAAACGGATTAATTGATTTAATTTCTTAATTTGATTGATTTATTTTAATTTAAACATTTAACTAAATATAAAAATAAATAATTTAATTATTTTTTTAGGAAAGTGGGAAGGATTGTATACATCCTTAAACCTTCAGTATATTATTTAAAATTTATTATTAATAAAGTTACTAGAATGTATCTATTGTTTTCTCGCGATAGATAGCATCATCTCTCTAATGAATGATAGGGTTGAATCCAATGGTTCAATCCCCCCATTGTTCTTTCGCGATTTGACATCTACTGTGTTTTAGATCTTTTGTATTTTACCTGAAACTAAAAAAATATATATCAATAGCTGTTCTTTTGTCTATTTTCTCCTAGGGTTTTTCGCCGCCTAGATTTCAGCTTACCCATATCCTCCACTAATTGTATTAGCTAAGCCATTTGGCGTTTTTAGCACCTAAAGAATCAATAATTATTTGTCACGTATTTATTGATTAAACTTTATCGATTTAGCACACATTTATTGACATAGACGGAAAGTGCAGATCATCAAACGTTTTTTCCCTGAATTTTTGTTCGAGATGACGCCATGCGGGTAAAGCGCGGATCATCATCCTCGCCTTCGAGAGGAAAATTGACACGTGGCAGAAGGCGCAGATCACCATCCACACCTTCCATAAATACTCCAATCGTTCATTACTCCACCTTAATTACCACCTACTCCTAGGGATGAGCATGGGACCAGAACCCGACCCGACCCGATCGGGTTTTTAAAAAAAAATCGGGTTCGAGTCGAGTTTTTTTAATGTGATGTTCAAGTCGGGTCGAGTTCGGGTTTATGGTGAAAAATACCCGACCCAACCAAAAAAATATAATTTTATATATTTAGTAATAATTACAATAATACCCCTCTATATATTATTTTTTCAATTAAGTCACTGTTTTTATTAAATAAAAATAATATTTTTTATTATTTCGGGTAGAGTCGGATCGGGTTCGTAAGTTATATATCAAGTCAGGTTCGAGTCGGGTGAAATCTTGTTTTGGTCGGATCAGGTCTCGGGTGGAGGACTCCTTGTTCTCAAGTTGGGTCGGGTCGACCAAAAACCCGACCCATGCCTATCTCTACCTACTCCTCCCTAATAAATACCACCTCATACAACTCTCAAACCACACAAAAAAAAATGCTCTCCTTCTTACTTTTATCATTCATTCTAACAAGCTTCAAGTGGGTCTTGTTATTATTTTTAGAAGGTAAAATTATTTTTATTATATTATAATTATTAAATAATGTATTGTTTTATTATATTTTATTATGTCTTCCTCTTGAACTGGAAGCGATGTTGTCATACAGATTGATCGTAGAGCCACCTCGATAGAGATCGCAACAAGTTGTTGATGAATGTCTCCCAATTGAACTTCATGGGATGATACTAGGATGTGGACTTCCCATTAACGAGTTAAAATCATTACACATTACTTGAGTTGGGATGTCAACTTGATCAGCTTGTTGAGCTATCCCATAGTGAGAGCATAATGACATACCACGAACCGCATATACTTCAACAAATATCGCATACATTTCTGTATCAGCGTCTAAATTTTTATTTTGAAAATCAAACATCATAGCAACATCGTCATCATTGGAGAGTTCGAACGCAATATAAGTTAACGAAAATAATGCGGTTGGAAATTTGTACTGAAGTGAGAACAGTTTTCTAGTACTTTCAACATGAACCTTCCTTGAAATTTTAATGATCAGCTCCTCAAGAGTGATGTTTCTCTTGAAGGATATTCTGACATAATGATTTGATGCGAATAAAAAACGTTGATTTCATCTTCCCGAATTTCTCCATCATAGTAAACAATAGCTGAAATACGTCTTATTTTGAGAGTTTGAAAGATCGAGTCTTATATCTGCAAAAACAATAGCTGAAATACACTTAATTAAATAAATAATATACGAATTAAAATATAAATTAATACTAAAAAATCACAGTAAATTAAATAACACAATTTAATATTGTTATTGTATCGGCAAAATATCTCGAGATTTGATCCAACCTTCTATTTTACAACCGTAAAAGATAATACTAAATAGTTAGTAAAAAAATTGGTCACATAATTAAATATAAAATAATTATAAAAATAATTTTAGTTTCTAAGAACTATAATAAAATCTACTTAACTTGATAGAATGAATAATGTGAAAGTAATTTTAGTGTTATTTTATGTTTGCATTCGGGGTATTTATAAGAGATGAGGATGAGTGAGTCGTTGAACTTTAAGACTCGGGTAATAATGGAGTACCTAATAATTTAAGGTGAATAATAGAAAGAGCATATAGTGATACGTGCCTTCCACCGCATGTCAGTTTTCCCCGCGAAGACGTCGCGTTTTACCCACGTAACGCCAGCTCAGGCGAAAACCAAGGAAAGACGCGTTTGGTGATCCGCGCCTTTTGTCCATCAGCAAATGGTTGTTCGGTGAAATTTGTTCAATGACAAATAACTATTGATTCTTTGGATAATTTTTGGGTAAAAACGCCCTGCGATTTTGCTTTTACGGAATATATGAATTTATGGTTTAATGTAACTTAATTCGAAAAACCTTTAATTTATTTTTCTATCTCAAATTCCAGGATGCATAGGGTACTATTAATCAAGTGTATCCCGAAGCAAGTAATTAGTAGAAGGAATCAAGTAGAACAAACCAAGAGCTAGTGGGCATAATTAGTTGATAACAAAGTGATTAAACAGGTGCATTAAGCTTGAATCTTTGAAGACCAACTTTATAACCTAAAGTGTTGGTGTCGTTTTGCACTTGTTGCTGGAACTCGGTGTACGTAAAAGGTTTGTATTTAGAGCTGTGGACGACGCTGCCTTTTTCTGGGAACACAAAGTAGCATACGGAGAGTCGTTCCTCCTGCTTGTTCACTCTCACTCTATGTTTCACACTCATGTATTGGTCGTCGCTTATAGCCTGTACGAACACATTTATGTTGTAAATACTGAATAAATAAGATTGCAGATTGAGTTTAGGGGTCACCTGCATCATGTCACCGATGTGGACTAGAAGAGTGTCTGAAATTGGGTTAACCACGAGCCATTTATTGTCCTTGAAAATCTCGAGTCCCCCTACTTGGTCCTGGTTCACAATGGAGAGCAGTGAGCTATCAGTATGTTCCATCATGCCCCAAGACTTGTCGACCGAGGACCTAAATGGGTATCGGTAAAGACGTACGAATCCAGTCGATTCATCTAAGCTACACTCAGTCTGTTCAGGACACAGATTCAGATTCTTCACCATTGCTTCAAACAAGGTTGTAGCAATTCTCCAAAGGTGCCTTCCATATTCTTCCAGATAATGCCTGAAAAGAAAAAGTTAGACAAAAAATATATATTTCCCAATTATCCAAATAAAGCAGTAAGCAAAACTTAATCATCATTTAGAAGATAATTAAAACCGGGGAGCAATAATTATTTAAAGAGCCCATCCTTTAGGATATTCTGCCACATTTGTTAACATGAAGCTTCGAGATTAAAAAAAATGAGAAACTCTCACGTACTACAACTTTAATATAAGATTAAGGTAAGATATTATCGGTTTTATTATTATTATTATTTTAACAAAATCAGTAAAAAATTATTAAAATATTATTATTTCTACCGATTTTATTATATAGAGCGTTTTACCGGTTTTGTTAACATATCCGGTAAAAAGCTACTAATTTTATTATTTTTTTCTACCGACTTTATTATTATTAGACACTTTACCGAAAATAAAAAAATATTAATATTTTAAATATAAATAATAATATTTTAAATAACTTTTTATCAATTTTATTAAAAAAATAATAACAAATTCAATAACATCATACCTTAATCTTATATCAAGGCGACCGCGGTAGAATTTTCCTAAAAAATGGGGTATGGAAAATCAAAGAGTTTATTGGATTGGTTTATGACACTGCAAGGGAAGGGATCCAAAAGTTAATGATGCTGACCTTAAAATCTCCTTTCCTTGCAGAAAAAAATCTGGGACAGTCCAATCAGTTGGTCACTTCATTGGGTTATTATTGTCCACCCAGAAGAAATGCCCACCAAACCAAATAAACAAGAAGCAAATATATACCTGAAATCTTGAAGCCTGGGATCCTCAGTCTGAAACAGTGGGAGTTGAGTGAGCGGAACATTTATGCCTTCCAACCAATTCATATTCAAGGCGCCCCTTAGGGCAGCCCCGGATGGGGTTAGGACAGGGGTGCCCCAAAAGTAAGAGAGAGGTTTAGTGAGTAGGGCTTGCTTGGATTCGAAGGATAGAGAAAACAACATCCTCACATGCTCCTCCAGCTTGCTCGAAAGGGTGGGAGGAATCCCATGGTTTACCAAACGAAAAACACCCCATTCTTTGCAAGCTTCTCCCAGCTTTTTGTGGCTAAGGCACTGAAGATCCACCACGGGAATAGGGACTGACGAGGACGACGATGATGATGAATATGAATCTTCCATGGAGTTGGTGAGATCAGCAGATGAACCGCTGAGATGGCGAAAGAGTGGAGGGTAGGATTCAAGGTTGCTCATTTCAAGTTTTTTCTTTTTGGCTTTGTTCCATTCAACAGCGGCTGAAGGGGAGAGACAGCTTAATTGATTCTGATTTTGTATCGGTACACGAGAGGAGATTTTGTCTTCTTCAACAAGTTCATTTATTCTGGGTACGTTCGTAGGGGCCCGATTGGATTCTTAATGAAACGGGCCTATCTGTCCTGCATGACTAATTGCATAAAAGCAAATATATATATGAAATTTGTTTGAAATAAAAATTAATTTAATATTTTTTTCATTTCTGATCAAAATATTTAGAATTCCTAATTATATTTTTAATTAATGTTTCAGAAACAATTATATTTTTTTTGGTGTTGATATTAGCCCTGCTCAATTACCTTGTGTTGATATTTCTTGTCCAGTAGTGGGTGGTTCTAGTAGTGGTCCTGTTATAGTTGATTCTGTTAATAAGGATCTCCAGGTGAATTCTCTGCCACCTCAAGGTACTGAACTGGATGGGGGTAAGTTTGAAATTGGTGGTGGTGGTGGTAAAGTGAAGACCATCCAGCCTTCCCAAGCTGGTGCTGGTAAAGTGGAGACCTTGCAGTATTCCCAAATTTCTTCTGATGTTGCTCCTAGCCAGGGTAGTAACCCTCAACTGAAGAGAGGAAGAGGTAGGCCTGCTAAAGAGAGGAGTAAAACCAATGTGGGTGGCTCAAAGAACAAATATGAGGTGCTTAGTTCTATTGATCCTGATGTTATGCTTAGAATGGCTTCTGTGGACTCTGGTAGGAAGCAAAGAGAAGCATCCTTAGGTGTTGAGAAGTTATTACATGATCTGAAACTTAAGAAAAAAGAAAATGTGAGTAAAGCTAAGAAATTGGAAGAATGTGGTGGTGTTTCTTCCTCTCCCCCTGTTGTATGTTAGTCTGCTTTTGGAATGTTAGGGGTTTAAATAATCCCCTAAAACAAGGTAAGATTCTGTGTTTGGATGTTAAAAGTCAGATTGGCATTTTGTGTCTCCTTGAAACGAGAGTTAAAGAGAATAATTCTGGGATCATCTTGAATAAAAAATTTGGAGACTGGGATTTTTGTTGTAACTACAACCATGCAACCAATGGTCGTATTTGGGTTCTATGGCACAAAAGCATTAGTTGTTCTGTCATTTCATGTTATGATCATAGTGTTTCCATTAGGTCAACCTTTGGGGGTAAGTCCTTTTGCATTACTGCAGTTTACGGTTTCAATGAAGGTAGTCTTCGAAAGCACCTATGGGATCATCTAAGGCTTATGGAAAGTATAGTTGGAAATGAGCCATGGTTGATAGGTGGTGACTTTAATGTCACTCTCAATTCCTATGAAAGCTCTATTCCTATTAATGTAGCTACGAGAGGAGACATCTCCGATTTTCAAAACTGTGTGGATGTGTTAGGCCTCTCTGACCATCCTTTTTCTGGCCCCTTATTTACATGGTCTAACAAGCAGCAGGGTTCGTTTTTAGCCCGGAATCTCGATCGTGTCCTTATCAATCCGGTTTGGTTTGGTTCTTTTGCTGACTCGGAGGTTGAATTTCTAGCTCCTGGAGACTCTGACCACTGCCCTGCCTTTGCCTGGTTATATAAGTTTGCACCAGTCTCTAGACCGAAGCCCTTCAAGTTTTTAAATTTTTGGACTCTCCACCCTCGGTTTATGGATGTTGTTGAAGAATCTTGGCAGGTTCCTTCTTCAGGAAACCCAGCTCAGGTTCTATTTTTGAAGCTCAAGAGATTGAAGCGATGTCTCAAAGACCTTAATAGATCTCATTTCAGTGACATTTATGGTTTGATCAAGGAAAAGAGAGAAGAACTCCAAAAAATTCAGTTGGCCAATTTAGATCCTGGTGCCTCTGGCCAGGATGTTAGTTTGGAATTGGAGATTGAAAAAGAATTGAAAGCCCTTGAAATTACTGAATTGCTCTTTTACAAACAGAAAGTAAAGGTAAATTGGCTCAAGGAGGGTGACCAAGGAACCAAATTCTTCCATTCCATGGTGTCTATTAGAAGGAAGAGTACCACCATTAGAATGCGTTATGATCAAAATAGAACCAGACTGGATACTTTCGAGGACATGGCTAATGAGGTGGTTAGGTTTTTTAAAAATCAGCTGGGTATGGCAGACTCAGGTGTCATTGGTTCAAGTGTCAGCACCATTAGAAATCTGCTTGGTTATTCACTCCCTTTGGAGGCTGTTGATTTTCTCTGCAGTGAGGTCTCTGACTTGAAAATCAAAGATGTTATTTGGGGGCAAGGGAATGATAAATCCCCTGGCCCTGACGGTTACAACCCTTTTTTCTTCAAGGCTGCATGGTCAATTGTTGGTGAGGACTTCAAGAACGCATTTAGGTTTTGTTTCAATGAATCCTTTATTCTCCCTTCTTTTAATGCTACTGCTATAGTCCTTGTGCCTAAGATCCCTAATCCCAGCTCTATCACAGATTTTAGACCTATTTCACTCTGCTCGGTTATCTATCAGACAGTGACTAAAATCCTTGTTAATCGGTTATCTATTGTTTTCTCTGGCATGGTTTCATTTAATCAAACTGCTTTTTATTAAGGGAAGGAATATAGTTGATAACACCCTTCTAGCTAAGGAGATTGTTAGGGGATATGCCAGGAAAAATAATTCCCCAAGATGTGCCTTGAAAATCGATTTACAAAAAGCATTTGATTATTTAAATTGGGAGTTTGTTGGCATTATTCTTTATGTTTTGGGGTTTCCAGAGAGATTTATAAATTGGATATGGGCATGCTTCACTAGCCCCAACTACTCTGTTGAACTATGTTTCGATATAACAATTTAAGGCAAAATTGTTTTTGGACTTGAATTGAATTTACAAAATGTATTTGGACTTAATTGAATTTATTCAAAATTTACAAAAATAATTCAAAGTTCTTTTAATTTAAAATTGAGCACAAAAATGTTTTTATGAATAGCAATTTACTATTTGAACAGTAAATCACTGCTTGAACAGTAACCCGAGGCTCAAAAATTCCAGTATGTAAAAGGGGAACCGATTCCCCCCAAAGGGGTACCGATTCCCTCACTGTTCATCAGCCCAACGGTCATAATATTTGAATATTATGAAGGGGTATCGATTCCCTATGAAGGGGTACCGATTCCCCCCATTCTGGGCAGCCTATTTTTGTAGAAAAATCATTCCCAAACGGCTCCAAAACATCCCCAACGGCTAGATATGACTTCAAACACATTCCAAGCTATAAATACAAGCTAAGGACACTTGAAGAAGTAAGAGAACAACTATCCAAGCAATCAAACACAAGAGAAGAGTTTTTCATTCTTATTTCATATTTCTCTTGTATATATTTTGTTCTTGTGAGCTCAATCTTGTAAACACCTACCTTAGAGAGGTTTTCTTGTTTACATTTCTTATCCTTTTGTAAAGGGGAAAGGTTCTAGCTAATCTCGTGTAAAAGCTAGGGAAAGGTTCTAGTTTATCCCGGAAAAACTAGGGAGTTTGTAAGGTTACTCTTTATCATCAAAAGAAAGAACAAATTAGTGAATTTGTTGGAAAATCCTTGGTGAGGAGCTAAGGTAGTGGATGTAGACTTTGATTAAGAAAGTCGAACCACTATAAATCGTTGTGCAATTCTCTATCTTTCAATCTCCTTACTCCCTAAACACAAAACCGTTCCGACCCCTCTTTGCAAACCGTTTCGGTTGTCGATTCGAGCTTCCGAAAATCCTAACATACTCAATCGTGCTTAATGAAAGTCTTGTGGGATACTTTAAGGGGGCTAGAGGTGTTAGATAGGGAGATCCTCTCTCTCCCTATCTCTTTGTCCTAGCTATGAATGTCTTATCTAGCTTGTTGAACTTGGCTGCCATGAATGGGATTTTCCAGTTTCATCCTAGATGCAGGAAGATAAAACTTACTCACTTGTGCTTTACTGACGACCTCCTCATATTCTGTAAGGGCACCATTGATTCCATTGCTGGTGTGCAGTTTGTCCTTGATTTGTTCTATTATTTATCTGGATTGAAACTGAATGCTAATAAATGTGAGTTGTTCACTGTTGGAATTTCCCCTGTTCAGTGTGATATTATTCAGGAGATTATGGGATTTAAGTAAGGGATCCTCCCCATGAGATATCTTGGAGTTCCCCTCGTGACAAAGAAAATTTCAATAAATGAATGCCAAGGTTTAATTGACAAGATAAGAGCCAGGCTTAACACATGGGCTAACAGACATTTAAGTTTTGCTGGTAGATTGCAACTTGTTAGGTCTGTCATTTTCAGTATAGCAAATTATTGGTGTAGGCATGTGTTTCTTCCCCAAGCTATAATTAAGAAAATTGAACAGCTATGCTCCCGTTTTTTCTGGAAACGGGCTAATATGTCAGCTAGAGGTGCTCGAGTGAGTTGGAAACATGTTTGTTTAATGAAATCAGAAGGGGGTTTGGGTATCGTTGGCTTAGAAGACTGGAATAAGGCATGTTCAGGGCTCTTGATCAGGAAATTATTGGCCAATGATGGATCTCTATGGGTGCCTTGGGTCCTCTCTTATGTGATTAAGAACATGGATTTTTGGCAAATGCGTGTCCCTGTTAACGCCAGTTGGAGCTTTAAGAAAATCTTGAGAATGAGACCTGCTGTGTCTCAACTATTACCTGGTTCTGTTGCTGATCTCAACACTCGGAAAATTTGGGAGGAGCTGCGTATTCCAAGCCCCAAGGTCGCCTGGCACAAGCTTGTTTGGTTCCCAGGTCGTATACCCAAGCAAAGCATCATCTTGTGGATGGCCATTTTAGATAGGCTTCCAACTCGTACTAGATTATCTCGATTGGGAGTGAATCTTGAAAATGTTAACTGCTTATTTTGTGGCTTGGTCACTGAGACTAGATGTCACCTGTTCTTTGGTTGCTGCTTTGCGAAGGGCTTATGGGGCAAAATTCTTTCTCTATGTGGCATTGTTCGCGACGTGAGCAACTGGGATAGGGAGTTTACTTGGGCTGTTCAGCTTCTTAGAGGGAAGTCCCTTATTGTTCAAGTGATGAAGCTTGCTTTTGCAAGTCATGTGTATTGTATTTGGAGGGAGCGAAACGCCAGACTGTTTGGAGGAAGGGGTCGAAGTGTGGGTGAGCTGTTGAATGACATCCAAGAGATCATTCAAGTTCGATTCCAAAGATGGTCTAACAGCAGGGCAAACACGAGAAATGTTGCCCTTTGCACGAGCTGGGGTATTTAGATTTAGCTTTCTTTCCATTGTTCTGTTCTATTTCTAGTTGTGTTATTTTTGTTTATGTAACGTTATGTTTGTAGCGGGTTTACCTGCTTTATTGGGTAATGAAATGGAATTATCAAAAAAAAAGTAATTTATGATAAGTTTTTAATTTTTATTTAAAACTACTCAATACTCATCGAATATTCCATGTGTCTGTGCATATGCTTTAATTACGCCGAATTTTTTATTATTTTATTAATCTGGAGTATTTATAAAAGATAAACTTTTAATTTTTTTAAACTAATAAAAATAGTATTATTAGAGTTTTTTCCTCTAGCGTTCTCTGTACTCAGATAGGCGTGGGTGAGGGCACTCCCTTAAAAAAATTAAAATTATCATAAATTTTAGATTATTTATGTATTTTTTTATTGAATTTCGCCCATCCCTAAATTTTATAAATTTTAGTTCGCCCCCTCCCTGGACACAGGATTTTATGTTAGGGGGTGAACGTAAATTTATAAAATTCTAGGAACGAAAAAATATTTAAATAAAAAATACATATAAAAATCTAAAATATATAATAATTTATAAAATAGTGTTGTTAGAGGTTTTCCTCTAGCTTCCTTTGTAATGAGACAGGAGCGGGTGAGGGCAAACGCTCCCATAAAATTAAAAATTACCATAAATTTTAGATTTTTTATATATTTTCTATTGAATTTTGCCCCTCCCTAGAATTTTATAGATTCTAGTTCGCCCCTCCCTGGATGCAAGATTTTATGTTAATGGGCGATCTTGAATTTATAAAATTCTAGGAAGCGAAAATAAATTTTCAAAAAAAAATACATAGAAAATCTAAAAATACTTAGGGTAGGTGAACTTGAATTTATAAATCTATCTAAGTTGTTAAAGATAGGGGTGAGTAAACCACGACTCGACTCGAATAATCATTTTTTTTCAATTTTGAGTTATTCGAGTCAACTGGAATTATAAATTCGATTTTCGAGTTTGAGTCGAGTTTGAGTCACATGCTCATAAACCATAGTAGAATACAAGTGTACTTTCAATTCCTCTTTTTGATAACAAATTTTTATTTTTCAATTCAGTCTTTCAATTTTTCATAATCTTTTATTCCTTCAATTTGTGATTTATTTTAAGTACATTTTTTATCAAATTTGAACCTCATACTCATATACCACAATAGAATACCTATGTAGCTTCAAATGTTATTTTTTTAACTAAAGATGCACTCTCTTTTTTATTTAGTCCCTTAACTTTGCATTTTACTCGATTTGGTCTTTTGACTACAACTGTTTGCAAATTCTTTCTTCTCACCAATTCCTTATCTCATTTATACTCTCATCAATATTTTATCTCAAAATATTTTTTTAAATATAATATTATGATTATATTTAATAATTTTAGATTGTATTTGATATATTAAATAACATCATAATATATATATATAATATATATATATATATATATATATTATATATATATATATATATATATATATATATTATAATGGTTATTTAATATATCAAATACAATCTAAAATTATGATATATATATATATATATTATGGTTAGATAAAATAAAAAAATTGAAACAAATTATTGTCATAATATTATAAATAATTATAATAAATTAGTATAAAAACTCGAATAACTCGACTCGAAAAAGTTTCAAGTTAAGTTCAAGTTGTAAAATACGACTTGTCAACACGAATAACTTAAAATTTTTGACTCGACTCGACTATATCGAATAAAGGTTTTTAATGATATGATCCTAAAAAAAATCCTAAACTAGACTCGAGTTCTAATGATAACATAAATTATTTTTAAATTTTTTAAAAAAATTATAATTAATGTTTGCAAATAATTTTTATGAACAAAATTGATCCACTTTCGGGATTGTTTATAAGCTAAACAGAATTTTCTTTCATATGTCATAATTGATCGTCTTCTCTTCCAATTCTTCAAAAATATTTGAAATTGTCATGACCTACTTAAAACCATAAACAAAACACAAATAAAAATGATGTCTCTAATTTTTATTTGGAACTTAATCTTCCAACTTTTATTTCAAGGAATTAAATTATCTATTTTAAGTAATTTAATTCTTAAATAAAATAAATTTTATTTAGAAGGTGTGTTTGATATCTGGAAAACATTTTTCGAAATTTTTTTCCTCATTTTTTGTGTTTGATACTTAAAAAATATTTTTCGGAAATATTTTCGGTGTTGATATTCGTAATTTGTTTTACGGAAAATATTTTTCAATATTTGATAATTGTAATTGATTTTTCTAATGTAATTCATTTTTCTAGTTTCTTTGTATTTTCTGTAAAATATTTTACCATATGATTTCT